ATAATCCTACTTACCGGTCAGTATTATTATAGGGTTGTAAGTGTTAGATAATCCAACTTACCGGTCAGTATTATTATAGGGTTGTAAGTGTTAGATAATCCTACTGATTTGTCAGTATTATCATGGTGTTGTAAGTGGGTAAAATCGTATTTATCTTTTAGTATTGTTATTATTACAGTGGATAATTGTATATTTATTTCTCAGTATTACGGCAGCGTAAGTGGTAGATGTAGTTGATAATATATTCAGAGTGTATTAATTGTTAGATAACCTTAATTTCCTGTCAGTAGCATTACTTGTCTCAACTTTAAATATTTTTCATTCACGTGCTAGTGTTATTACAATTGCATGATCACAGCATACTTAATAATAGAAAGAGAAGCTGTAAAAACTTTAACTATAATTGTCTGAGGATTTTTTGAAATTTTGCTTTCTTACCGTTTGGTTTACTATTCGAAGGTTGAGCTGCGTTATTTAGGCCTACAAAGAAACACGTTCCCAACACTAAAAGTCCTAGGACGTTCTTCATTTGAACTGTGTGATGACGCTTGTGAAAAACAAAACAAAAACGTGCACATGATAAACAAAAGATTCACGTAGGGTTTACACCATACCATACTTAATTTTTCTTTACTGTAAGTGTATAAGATGACAAGTTTCATGTTTTTATTTAAGGGTGATATGTTAGTTATACATTCAATATAAAACAACAAAAATTACGGTTTATATCCCGAAATCTGTCATTATAAACCAGTAAGTCAAACACGTATGATAAAAATCAAGTAACTTGCAGATGTTCTTTCGCACATTGCTCTTAATTTCGGATTCAAAGTCAGACATGGGTTAAAATAGCATTTAAGATGTTTCGTCTCCCACAAGTCAGTGTTATTGTGCTCTGACTAGGAGAGAAAAGTCAATCAGCTTGGTTGATCCATAATGTTGGCGTATTTGTGGGAAGAATAACAGTTTACAGAAGTTATGTGATCTTCCTATGGCTGTAGACAGAATAGAGTTAGCCTATGGTGTTGTATGACCTTCCTTTACGTATGACTATAACCGTATGAGCTATGGGAAAATAAGAGTTAACCTACAGTTGTCATATGATCTTCCTATGGCTATGACCTATGGCTGTAGACAGAATAGAGTTAGCCTATGGTGTTGTATGACCTTCCTTTACGTACGACTATAACCATATGAGCTATGGGGAAATAAGAGTTAACCTACAGTTGTCATATGGTCTTTATATGACTATGACCTTATGACTGTCAGGAAGGTGTGTCGGGCTCATCTGAAGAAATTTATCTAGAGCCTATAAAGCTGTCATATAATACATAATTTATATAGCACGTTTGAAGACCATAATGTCTTAAGAACTGATACTAATCTGAAAACACACACAAATATTTATTGACATATATTCAGGCCATTGAATGTGCGGAGGTGTTGTTTTTTTTGTTATCTGCTTCTAAACAATAGTGTGAAAACTAAGTCAGTTGTGAAGTACCTAGATAATAAACACATTGATAGTAAATCATAAACTGAATGATAGCTATTGACACCTCTAAACCCTTGAAAATTTAGGACCCATCGGTAAGGCTGATAAATTTCAGATAAATCTCTAATGCTATTTGCCTTCGTTCTTATTTCAAATTCTCCTCCCACGACACAATGGCTCAGCGATAGATTGAGAGTTTATGTTACTAAACGTCGGGGTTCGATCTTTATGTGGGGAAATGTGCAGGTAGCCAATAGTGCAGTTTTAAGCTCTAATTAGCCAACAAAACTAAATTATTTTGAAGATAGTTAAAACATTGTTAAAACTAGTGTCTTTATATACACATATATATATATACATCTTGAAAATCTATTGTTAAATCACACAACACGACATTGTTAAAACTGGTGTCTTTATATACACACACACATATATATATACATCTTGAAAAATCTATTGTTAAATCACACAACACGACATTGTTAAAACTAATGTCTTTAGATACACATACATATATATATATATATACATCTTGAAAACCTATTGTTAAATCACACAACACGACATTGTTAAAACTAGTGTCTTTATATTCACACACATATATATATACATCTTGAAAAATCTATTGTTAAATCACACAACACGACATTGTTAAAACTAGTGTCTTTAGATACACACACACACATATATATACATCTTGAAAAATCTATTGTTAA